TGCTATGAGCAGAATCTGCATGCGTGAGAAATGCTCCAATTTCTGATCGTGCTTAGAATGAGAGCAGAATGCAGTGACACATTTTTGCGTGTCAACGTTTGGCGCTGGGCCAGGTGTGAGTGCACGCAAGGTTACATAATGAAAGATCCGCCAGAGAGGGAGTGAGAAGTGTCATCTCAAGTGTCATTTTAATGCTTGAAGTAACAAAACATGACACTTCCTCTGGAAACGCTAACTCTCAATGTCTTCCTCTACATGCAAGCTGCACAGTAATCATCAACATATAACACAGCTTTTTTTTTTGCCATAATATATGCAGGTGTTTTGATTTAATACTAAGAATAACACAAGACATAAATACAGAGTTTTATAAGATAACTTCTAAAGTTGTAGAATTGAACCGTTACAAATTTCTCTGAACTATCTTCACCTTTATGAGCTATTTTGACTTTTAAAGTGATTTTAATGGATTTATGAAGTCATAGTAACAACAGATTAATAAGGTAATGTTTCAGAACCAGAAAGTTTCCAAATACCTTGTCTTCATTCTGAACAGTATATCATCTAAATGCTAAATAAATATATACATTTTTGGTGAAATCTTTTGTTTGAGAAGTGTACTTGTGCTGTACTTTGAAATAAACTCCACTTTTGTTTTAAGTTTTGTATGTAGGATAATACATTATGAAATTCATGCATTGTGGCTCAAGTTTATAAATACTTTTTGGGGCCACTGCATGTAAAATAAAGGTGGTTTATGTATCTCAGCCTTTTAAAATAAATACCAAACCACAAAAACTCACTGTGAAAACTGAAAGTGTTCATCAAGGTGAGTGAAGACCCCTGAAGGTGTGTGCGAGCTGAGTGTAGAGGGGGGGTTGCACTATGAAAATGCTGATAAATGGAATGATGCAATTTCTGTGCTGTGTTTGGCTGCAACTTGCTTCTCTAAGTGAACATTCCGTGGTTTTGAATGTATTATTATGTGACAATGTGCATAACAGCTCATGTGAGATAAACTTATATAACTTATTATCAATGTAAACATTCTCAGTTGATTGACTGTACTTGTTATAGAAATTTCCACCTGTAGTTATCATGATGTTGTCATCAAAGGTGGATTTATTACAAAAATGTTTTAATCATTTCAATTCGCACATGTCTCTCTCTATCCACATATTTTGCAACGCGAATGTGAGCTAGTGCGAAACTTCCGATTCATTAGCTGCTCTTCAGTAAAAGCTAAAAGTTGCTCTACAAACAAGTGTGTTTATAATTACGAAAATACATCAAAATAACATGATAAGAAATACCAGTTTGCAATATCAAGCAGCAAAACGAGCTGTTTTTTTTACAGATAAAAATGACTAAAAGCTATAATGACACCGGAAGCCTCGCACACTCAACTTTACAAATGGCCACGTCCGTTCTCACGTTAAAAATAAACGTGTTTGTTTTGTTTTGAATCTTCATGTTCTACAACACCATGAGGATGACTAAATAATAAAAGAATTCAAATTTTCTGTGAACTATTTGCGAGTTTCAGAATGATTTCTCAAAGGTTCAGCTTTCGTTCTCTAAGATACTGTACGGTCGCATGCCATACAGGTGTTGTGATGACAAGGCATTCAGTTTTGTTTTAGTGTTGAGGATATGTCCTTCATTCCAATCAGTCTTTGGTCGTGATGGGCCATGAAGTTTCAGTGATGTGGTTGATTTTTAGTGCACTCAGCTAGTAATGATGACCGGAGGCCCTCATGTGGCCAGGATTCTAAGTGCATGTCAATTGCTTGAAAAATAAGTAAATTACGGTCGTGTGTAAACAATAATGCCAAGTATAACGATATGAGTGATGTCCTTCTTCATTTTGGGTTAAAATAAGTGTTCTAGTGAACAAAAGCAATATTTGTTGGTTGTAAACAGGTCATTTACACTGTGAGACAAGTAAAACATACAGGCCTACATATAAATATGTTATATTTTTCGACTTTAAGCACCTGTTTTATGACACAAAAGGTGCATTTGTGCAAGTCCCTTATTGCTATCTACACTGGCAAGATTGTAAATTGTAAAATTACAGTAACTCGTCACATGATTTAAGAAAAGGAGGCAACTGAAGACTGTAGGCTACTTTTTACACGTAGGCTACACCATCATGAGATGAAGCCTTAGACATAAGTTCACACAAAGTTTCTCAAAGACCAGCACATGCAATCTGATAAGAGCCTGAAAAAAGAGCATGTTTATTAAGAGCAAGACAGACAGACAGACAGACAGATAGATATGAGCTAATAATTACATTTATTCTGGATTACATAATCAGATTCCAAAAATGAAGTGCTTGTAATTAGAGTATAGGCTACCTTACATTTTATAATGCACTTAATCAGAATACAGTTTCTTTTTTATGGATTACATATTCACACAATGGAAGTGAATTATTCAATAATTTACTGATTCTCCCTAATTCTTCTTTTTTTCTCTTTTAAACCTTCATCTCCAAAAATAATGTGTGTCATGCCATTTAGCTTTAACTATGTTCACAAATGTTGTGTAAATAAATTTGCAAACCATGCTTCTGAATTTGGAGTGAAAAACACCTCATAATTAGACCATGTAAGAAACAAATAATTATGCAAGTTACTATCTCTGAGGAAGTTAATATTTCAATAATTTAACAACACAGTCGCATGTTTACAGTTCAGTGTCGCTTACTGCATGGTCACATTGACATGCAGGTAAACAAATGAAATATTTCTATTTTTAGTGTTCAAGTGTTTAAATAACTGATTTTACATTTTTAATGAATTATTAGGTTTTTATCAATTCACAAATCCACTGCAGTTCTTAAATTAAGCACAGTTCGGGAAACCTATAATAAGTAATGGCTCAGGTTAAATATGTAACCATGGTTCCCTGAGAAGGGAACGAGACACTGCGTCCTCTAGGGGTCGCTATGGGGTAACGCCTTTCAGCGTGACTGGTGTCTGAAGCATATATCTAAAAACGACAATAACTTTGGCCGGCGACAGCCTATGACGGCATTACTCTGCGCGATCACAGTATAAAAGGGCGCCGGGATAACACGTCATCCACTTCTTCGTCAGAAGCTTGCGTCCGCAGCATGGCAAGGAAACTAGAGGACACAGTGTCTCGTTCCCTTCTCAGGGAACCAATGTTACATACGTAACTTGAGACGTTCCCTTTCGAGGGAACTTCGAACTGCGTCCTCTAGGGGTCGCTATGGGGAACGGTATACCCACGCCACCATGCTGAGGGGAGTGCATGCCAGAAAACCATGGTGAGCACTAAGTACCAACTCTACCATAGCCATGGGAGTTGCCCCAAAGGACGTCTTGACGGCTGTCAGTGACATTATCTCCTTCGGCCAAGGGCCTGAGCAGCATACCCTAAAAGAACCTACTGTTAAAGGCTGGGCTAGGAGGCCCAAGCCTAGGGCAGAGCTCAAGGCTTGGAATCAGAAGAAAGAGATTCCTTTAAGGGGATACGGCCAGGTGTCTAAAAAACCATACCAGACCCTGGCCTGTCACCCAGGGGGGCTATCACCGGTTCTGAATAAACCTGCTCAAGGAACTGACTCGACAGATCTTAGGTAGCAACACCCTGCTTAGAAATGTATCAACAGAGATACATTAGTTGAGTGAAGCCCAAGGTGAGAACCGGGGCCTAAGCCAACTCAGAGAAAGGGAACGAGGCTGACAGCGCTTAACCCTTACCATACAAGATTTTAGAAAGTGCGCAGAGTGCTTATCGTGCACACTTACCACAATGTGGATTTTAAAAAGAGCACAGAAGCTTAGCGTGTGCACTTACCATAGCATGGATTTAGATTCCGAAGCATTTGCTCACAGATGCCCAGAAGTCCTCAGACACTCAATCGGGAGCGGCAGGTTCAAAGACAACCCTCTGAGGTGCAGCTGGACACTGTCTCATGCTCTCTATCTCGATAGAGAGCGTCGGTCCCGTATAAACAGACCCGATAGAATCTGAAGAAATAGCAGGACCCAATAACCATTCATGCATATAGAGCTTACTGCTCCTCAGAGCAGAAGCACAAAAGAGGGGTTTTCACAGAAACACAAATCATCCTGTACTCGCATCCTCCTCAGCAGTCCTGCGAATGCAACACGATGAGCTCAAGCCGCCTCCTCGAGAGATGAGCGCGTTCAATTCATGCTTATCCCTCACAAGAAATAAGCAATGAATACAAAGCGCATCCAACTCCCTCGAGAGCTGAACGCGCTTGCTCTTCACCACACACACACAGCTCGCGAGCCGTGTGAAACTGCAGGTATCAGAGCAAAGCCAAGAGAACGGAGAGACCGTTTAACATAAACAAACGGTCAGTGAAGACGAAGAAGAGGATGACGTGTTATCCCGGCACCCTTTTATACTGTGATCGCGCAGGGTAATGCCGTCATAGGCTGTCGCCGGCCAATGTTATTGTCGTTTTTAGATATATGCTTCAGACACCGGTCACCCTGAAAGGCGTTCCCCCATAGCGACCCCTAGAGGACGCAGTTCGAAGTTCCCTCAAAAGGGAACCTAGATTACATTACTTTTCATCATGTAGCGGTAGCCTAATGTGTAATCAGTAATGGACTACAATTTGTAAGTAGGCCTACTCTACCCAGCTCTGTATGTATTTTTAAATTAGGCTAATAAATAATCACATGAAATACTATGAATAGAATTATTAACTTAGTTGAAATAAATAAATAAATGCATACATACCACCACCACTACTAAACCTACTAGGCCTATTAGTATTACAACTAATAGGCTAATACGAATAAAATAGGAATAAAATAATAGGATATTTTACAGTGAAATATTTTATTTGACAACCTTACAGTTGCTCGAAAAAATGAAGAAACAAGAAGTCTAAGACTGACCTAACAAACGTTACATATCATGTACAGACCTGTTATAAATCCCCGTATTTTTTTCTCGGGAACTACATCTCCCAGAATGCAATGTGAGCATTGCATCACAACACCTGCCTGACGCCAGTAGCCGGAGTTCCGCGTGTTCGGATGTGGAATACGATGGAAAGTCGAGGAGTTTCATCGATTATATTTGACTTGGATAACACGCTGGTCGATACAGCCGGCGCAGGACGTATTGCCATTCAGAAGGTAAATGAATGAATAAGAAAAAAGCTGAAAAACGAACACTTTAAAGAACTGTTGACAATACTATGGTATTGCCATAGTTTTTGGGCACTTGCCATGGTATTATTGGACGTACCTTGAAGTATATATCAAAGTACCATAGTATTACCTTGGGTTTTGTGGACACATGCCATGGTATTATTGGACGTAAAGTATGTATCAAAGTACCTTGGTATTACTATGTTTTTTCGACATATAATGGTAATGCCGTGGTATTTTTCGACGTGCTCTGAAGTATGTATCAAATTACCATGTTTTTTTTTGGCATATGCAATGGTATTTTTGACATACTTTGAAGAATATTTGAAATTACCATGGCATTACCACGGTTTTATACTCATAATGGCAATGCCATGATTTTCTTTGACATACTCTGAAGTATGTATCAAAGTACCATGCTATTACCATGGTTTTTGTACACATGTCATAGTACTTTTTTTACACACTTTTAAGTGTATATCAAAGTACCTTGATATTACCATGTTATTTGACATGTACTGTGGAAATACTGTGAAATTGTTCTCCAAAAACTCCGAACTGTGCTATTTTTGTTCATTAGAGATGTAGATCTTATGATTTACATTGTGTTCTTTTTTTAGGTGTGTGAGCTGTTGAAGTCTATGCATGTGCAGGAGAGCCACATCAAAGACATCTGTGATCACTTTTTACGAAAGCTTCTCCATGAATCGTTCGACCCATCAGAAGGAAAAACAATAGACGATGTGAGGATCCATCACTGGTATGAAGCCCTACAGGAGACACAGGGCACAGATCTGGCCAGCAGCTGCTACTACATATGGAAGAACACAAGATTACAGGTGCTGACTCTTTCTCCTGAGGTTCGATCTCTCCTGGGGGAACTGCGGAAGAACTACAAACTACTTCTGATTACCAACGGCGATACTCAGACGCAGTGGGAGAAGATCGAAGCGGTGAGATGTAAGGGTCTCTTTAGTTTGGTGGTAGTCGGAGGAGATCATCCTGAGCAGAAACCGGCGCGCTCCATCTTCACTCACTGCTTCGAGTCTGCGGGAGTCCGGCCGCAGGACTGCGTCATGGTGGGAGATTGTCTCAGTACAGACATCCAGGGAGGCATTAATGCAGGGGTACGGGCCACTGTGTGGATAAACAGTGACTGTAAATCTCTCCCGCAGGGCTCTGTGACTCCAGACTACACTGTACCTAGTGTACTAAATCTGAATGATGTTCTACTTGAACTGAGATGATGTCTACATATGTGAACCTAAAGATGCATGCTTTTTTTTATTTATTTTTTAAAGAAAATTTGTCAGAAAAATGTGATGAAGACTTATATCAGCAGCTTAGAAAAACTGTTTTAATCTATAAAAGTGTGATCCTCTCTTAAAGTGACCATAATGTTGCGGTCACATGACCAGGCAAATAATACTTTCTTGTAATCAATCACCAGATGACAATCCGGATATTCTACTTGAAGCTGTTCATGTCCTACTAATTATTCTTTCTGTGGCAATAATATTAACTCCAAAATAAACCTGTGTAATTTGAGTAATTAGTAGACATAACCACAATCCATCAAGTAACGGTCATTATGCAAATGCTTTATTAATACAGTTTTAACGTTCATTTAGCATATTTAACAGGACATAAGACATCAGCTATCCAACTCTCTTCAAGCTACATTAAACTGTATTGTATGTCTTTTATTTTCAGATTATAATTGTATTATTAAGATGTTAAAAATACTAAATTATTGGAATTATTAACCAGAAATATTAACAGAAATATTCATATTTGCCAATACCTGAAAAATAATTTAAATTGTGGAATAAATTAATCATGGGTGGGTGATGTATGTCTTTGGGTATTTACATGATTGGTAAAAAAAAAATCCATCCAATCAATTTTAGATAATCCGTTTCACTCAGATGTATGTCACAATAAGAAAGAAAAGATCTGTTGCTACTTCCATTATATCATAGCTTTAAAAAGGTTAAAAAAAGGCCATTGAAATGAAGTGCTAAATCTTCAGAAAATTTTAATTATCAACCTTAGAATGTCAAAAAAGTATAGACTATATATATTTTTTATTGTTTTATTTTACTTTTTTTTTTTTTTTAGGTTTTGCAACCCTAGTATTAAATGTATATTCTAGCAATCAACATTGAATTAACCAAAATAAAAGTAAATAAAGTATAAACCAGAAATATAAAATTGATAATTGGTAACAAGTTTGTAAAATTTAGATAAGTACTGCAAAATTACCAAAGTGTGCTCTATTCCTGGAAAGTGCCTTGATGGGTTCATGTCTGAGAGAGAAAATGTGATTGTCTGTTTGATTGTAGGCTGTTTACAAGTTAGATGCATTTTGTAATGATAATGGTGGTGTGGTTTTTCTTTTGTTGAAGCATCCCGACAACCTCCAAGATCCTGAGTGAGATTCCCTTCTAAAATAAGCATCATTAAATCAATGATTTCATGTGAGGCACTAAACATGCTTCTTTTTCCTTCTCTTGCAGTAATGAAAAAAACTCATTTGATTCAAAGAGGCAACCAGAATCAGAGATTCCAATGACTTTATGAACCAAACAGAGAAGAGAGGCAGGTGAGAATTGCATTTTAAGGTTTAATTCAATGTATTTTTTTCTAATGCCATAGGCTTATAGTGTTAATAGCAACCTCATGCAACATTTGGTGAAGAAATAGTTCACCCAGAAATACTTATTCTGCAATTATTCACTCACCCTCATGTTGTTCCAACCTACTTTTGAGCATCCTTTTGATAAATACTGCTCTCATGCTGTTTACTCAGTGTAATGTGATTACAATGGCACTGAAAAAAAAAGAACTGTTAAAAATGTTTTTGGCTGAAATACAATAAAATGAAAATATGTTATTAAATCTCTATTAAAAAATAAATTATAGTTAGGCCTATAATTAAATCTAAATAGAAATATCAAAAACTACAAAATAATAAACTGGAACTACAGATTATCAAACCAGTATTGTTACCTAAAATAAAAATAAAAATGTTTTTGGTAATTGAAATAAAGCTGAAATAAATATAAATATTTTATGTAAATGAAAATTATAAATGATACTGAGTTTAATAACTAAAATGTCAAAGTAAAACTGAAATTAAAATTTAAAGCTAAATAGAAATATAAAAAAATAATAAAAATGACAAAAGCACATAACAAATTGACTAAAACCTAAACTAAAAGTAAAATAAAAATGAAAATATACAAATAAAATCGAACACTGGTTCGAACTGACTGAACTTATTAAACCATAGTTTTAATTCACTAATTTTATATCTTATTTGTAAGGCATTAACTGATGTTGGATTTGTTTTACTATAATGTAAATAAATAAATATAAGTGCTAAATAAATCCATTCATTAATCCTAAACCTATTCTACCCCTATTCTGAATAATCGGCTTAATAATCGATCAATCGCTGTTAATAATCGAATCGAATAAATTTATGCTCGCGCTCTGCGCGTGCCTCATGTCCACTACACAAACGCGCACGCAACCATGGTTTTAAACACGTAATGCGGACTCATCTTCAAGATTGTTGGAGCATTTCGTTGTAAGTAAAGATTATGTGCACTAAAAAAAACATAATCGTATAATGAAGTACAACAGTAATGCAGCGTTTCTTTCTGTTTCTGTCTGTTCTGAGCGCTGTGAGTGAGGCGTCGGTGAGCACTCCCAGTGTGTCTGCAAGCGTTTCTGCTCGCGTTCAGATGAGGAGGAGGAGAAATAGTCCCGTGAACTTGACTTGAGGAGCTGTTTGTGTGGCACCAGTGTCACGGCACTCATGGCCCAGGAGAAGCGGCGCAGCACCCTAGCTTTCGTGCGTTACTAAAAAAAATCATTTATTTATTTGGTTTCGAAGATGAGTAGGCTAATGAAGATAAAAGCAGCCATTTGTGTCCTGGGGCCCATTCATGAAACTTTAGAAAATATAATAGTAAATTCGGAGTGAATTGCGCGTAGACTCGTGTAAAATGACCACCCAGAAAACTCATTTTGCGGTAATAACGCTAACGATTAATCGATCAGTTGAAAGAAAGTTAGTAGCTGGTATTTCTAAAAATTCCCATCCCTACACCTTAATTCATATTCATTTGAACTAATAAAATATGGATGATTATCAAGTTCTTCTAATTGGGCAATCATTCAACGGCTGTTATAACTAATCGTGTGAAGAGTAGGTTTATGGATATTTTCTTTTTAGTGTCACTGTGTGCGCTGTGATCATTTTGTTGTATTGTAGCTACTGTATATCTATGACAGGGAATTAAAAAAATAATAATTGTGATGTTCAGTCCTTGAACGTGTTAATTTCTCCAGTGATATGGACGGAACATTGTACCAAAATACAACAGTGTTTCTTGTGGTTCTACATAGTGACACTGCTGTCTGTATTTAAACTAGTGAGTGCAGTGACTAGTGAGAAAGACTGGTTGTCACAAATGCATAACACATCTTTATAATGCATTGTGATTATATGCATGCAACAACAAACGTACTGAGCAAAAGTCTGACTTAACATGACTGTTGAGAGTATGATAAAGTCTTAATTTCCAGAACTTAAGGCCTTAGAACAGAAAGTCTTACATTTATAGTCATGGTATTAAATATTGCATTCACTGCAAAAAAATGAATATCTTCAGTTTTTTTTTTAGTACATATATCTAAACTTCCTTAAAACCAGAGAAATTAACCGAGATACAAAATGACATAAGTCTTTGTTTTCTGAGAAACTGAACAACATGGAGTTAATGCTTAAACCAAGACCCAATATCTGCCAATGAGGCATGAAAACCTTATTTTTGTAATTTAAAAGCAATGGACATCTATTCAAAGTTGAATTTGCAAACTTTGAAGTGTTGCTATTACAACCCTTTGAAGAACATATTAAGTTCCCTTCAAATTATTCCTTAAATTTTCTTTTATTGGTCTTAAATGTCCTAATTTTACCTCCATAAAACCCTGTTTATCTTTTAAAATAAATTGGTCAAAAAATACTCTGAATCAGCTGTGTACGTAAAGCTTGAAAGACTTGATCAGTGTAATTATTTATTAGTACTAAAGAGAAACATTCTGTACAGTTTTGTAAGTCAAATGTTACTAAATAGTATTTTTTAGTAATTATGAACAATTGATGGGGTGGAGGGTGCTTCCTCAAAAGTACAAACAAAACGTAAATTAGAATTGTTTAATTTTATGACTCACAGACTGTAAGTACGTTTTTCATATTTAAAGGATTTGCCACTGATGATTCAAACGTGAGTTTTGAGCAGTGTAGAGTAGGGCTTGTTGTTTGTCATTTCTCCGATCACAAATGCAGACATAGTTTTATGTTTACACTGTGCGATGCAACGCAGCGCGTAAAAAGACAGTATAAGTCATTATAATCAGTAA